TCATTCATTTATCACGTCATTACTTAACAAGAAAATTGTCGGTTTAATTAACAGATGTATGAAATTGCAACAAAATACAAGTTTGTGTAGAAAATTGAAATGTTTTAAAGATAGTATATGAGATTGTAATTGCATCCAAATTTGAGCGAGTAAAATGTAATTTACCTCTTTTTTTACGTCATAGTGGTCTAGGCCATGAACTCTTGCCCTACTAGTCTTGGGCCAAAGCTGGCCTTATGTCAAAATGCGTATATGTATCCTTCAATCCTATCCCTATATAGAATTAAGAAACCTTGCATATAAATACATGTTGGGCACTTTCCAAGAGGTTTTCCAAATCCTAAAAGCATTTCCAGTGGAGTTCCTAAATAGGGATAACCATCGTATAAAATAAGTATTAAACAAATATAGGGACAAAATGGATCTTCAATGGATCGGAAAGTGAGTCCCTAAAGTATAGGAACTCACCGGATACATAGTGTATGGCCTCACATATAAGGACTATACATGGACAATCGTAAGTGAAAAACAGAGGCCACAATCTTGATTGAAGCTTTTAATACTTTTAATTAATTAAAAAAAAGTTAACATAAACAAAAAAAAAATGGGGAACTTTAACGAAAAGCTCCAGGTATTATTCACTTTAATGAAAAACCATATTTTTACACTAAAATGTAAATCTTGATACTACTCAATTTACCTTTTATTTTATCCTTATCGTTAAAACTCAAAATTTTCAAATCATTTTCATTAGTTTTCTTAAAAAAATGTGCATCTTGGATGAAAAATGGGCTCACAATCTTGATTAATGATTTTAATGCTTTTAATTTTAATGGTTTTAATTAATTAAAAAAAGATTAATATAAACAAAAAATGTGCATCTAATCAAATTATCACATAAAATAAAAAAAAATTCAAATTTTAAACTTCAAATTTTGGGATCTACTATTGACACACCCCGACCCAGAAAGTCCACTTGGACCCTGAATCGAGCTGTGCTGGCCGACACCTGGAAGGTGACGAAGCCATAATTCGTGATAGTGTATAAAAAGTGAATAAATTTGAACCTAAAAATTATTAATACCAGAGTGCGCTACGAGTGGGAGCGAACCCATTTCACACGCAATGTCAGAGCATAAGTAAGGTACAGTAATGTGGGTAAGAATCATACCCTCAGAAATATCCATCAATACTAAGATTCGCCACAGATTCTTGTCGATACAAACTCAGCAGCTAAAACCTGGAGGGCACCAAACAGAAGGTGTGAGTAAGCAATAAAATCAAGCTTCCCAAAGTTATTACCTTTCTAAAAGTAATGCCCCTAAATGTAAAACCCGTATCGTTTTCCATAAAACAGTACAACATATATACATATATCCAAACCATACTCAGAACTGACCAAACCACGATTTGCCATCAACTCCACCATACATTAATAAGTAGGCCAAATGAACTAAATCAATACAAAGTGATATATCAGTCAGAGTCATCTAAAATGACATGTACAACTTATCCGTATCTCATCAATCGTGGCTAGCATATAAGTCGGAGTCACCTATAGTGACCTGTACGACTTATCCATATCTTATCAATCCTGGCTAGCATATAAGTCGGAGTCACCTATAGTGACATGTACGACTTATCCATATCTCATCAATCCTGGCTAGCCAATAGCTCAATAAGTATACCTGCACACGAGTCGGAACCACCTAAAGTGGTCTGTACGACAGGACTGGGTGTAAATAAATATGCTCAAGTGCTACGATCACGTGAAGACTGGACGAATAATCGCGGGTCACCTACGAGTCGGAACCACCTAAAGTGGTATGTACGACAGGACTGTGCACCTACCTTATTCGATATTTGTTTTCCAACTTGAATATATTTTCCTATTCCTATGGCTATTTGTATTAGGGAAGGATTTCAAATTCGATGGACAGTATCTTTTCCTAATTCTATGTTGTAGGGAAATTGTCACATCTCGGTCCAGGGCGGATCATTTTTCGGGCCCGCTCCATCACCGTAGCACGATATTGTCCGCTTTGGGCTTACCATTCCCTCACGGTTTTTTTTGTTTTGGAACTCACGAGCAACTTCCCAGTGGATCACCCATCATGGGATTGCTCTAGCCCCCTTCTCGCTTAACTTCGAAGTTCCTACGGAACCCGAAACCAGTGAGCTCCCAAAAGGCCTCATGCTAGGTACGGATGAGAATATACATTTAAGGATCACTCCCCTGGGCGATGTGGGATGTCACAATCCAACCCCCTTAGGGGCACGGCGTACTTGTCGGCACACCACGACCAGGGTTAGGCTCTGATACCAATTCTCACATCCCGGCCCGGGACGGATCACTTTCCCGGCCCGCTCCACCACCGTAGCACGATATTGTCCGCTTTGGGCTTACCATTCCCTCACGGTTTTGTTTTTGGGAACTCATGAGCAACTTCCCAGTGGGTCACCCATCATGGGATTGCTGTAGCCCCCTTCTCGCTTAACTTCGGAGTTCCTACGGAACCCGAAGCTAGTGAGCTCCCAAAAGGCCTCGTGCTAGGTAGGGATGAGAATATACATTTAAGGATCACTCCCTTGGGCGATATGAGATGTCACAGAAATTACATTTGCACGTAATTACTACTATAATTGAATGCAAAAACAATGAAAAAAAAAAAAACTAAACAATCAAACAAAGAAAAATACTAGCAGCGTAAAATGAAAAACATAATTTGAATGAGTAGAAATCAAATACCTTGTACAGTTCAATACAATTGCATGTATTGTAGTCCGTAGACTTGAATTTTCCGCTTGGATTGTAATTTTTTTTGCATAATTGTGAGAAAAGAGGAAAGAGGAGAAGATGTGGAAGAAAAAATTCATAATTGTGAATTCTTGAAAGGGATGTGCTATTCACACACTTATTTTTCATTTTCACATTCCCTTTTAATTTTTTATCATCTGATCAAATAAATTGAAGAATATCAAAAAAACATAAATTAATATGAATGTATGGGAGGTAAAACAAAGTAGGGTTGTGAATAGCATCTCACTTCTTGAAATAGGTAGATAATTTAATTTACTCTCGGCTCTTTGAAATTAGGAATTTAGAAGTTGGGGGGAGACGGGAAGGGAAAAGGGTTTTTCCTCCTTTTTTTTTGTTTTTTGTTTTTTCATGTGCCTGTTCTCTTTCTTACCCGCAAGGAGCAACGCAATTCTTTCTTATCGTGGCATGAAAACCATTTTTTAATTATTGTAATTTTTTTACATTATATCTAAATGGACTTAAAATTATTTTGGCACCCTCCTTGGTTTGAGCCCTAGACTCTTGCCCTAGTAGCCGTGAGCTAGAGTCGGCTCTGTCTCAAAATGTATATTAAACTATGCATCCGTCAATTTTAATCATATATAGAATTAAGGGACCTTGCATATTAAAACATGTTGCTGTTTGGTACTGGAAAGGGCTAGAACCGGCTTTGCCTCAACATGTGTATCAAACTATGCATCCGTCAATTCTAATCATCTATAGAATTAAGGGACCTTGCATATTAAAACTTGTTGATGTTGGGCACTTTCCCAGAGGTTTCACAAATCCAACCAAACAAAATAAAAAATCCTAAGGCCTCAAAATGATGAACCCAAAAGTTGAACAAATTATTCCATAACTGTCCACAACAAACATTGGCAGATGAGAATCTAGTCAACATATATACGAGTCCACATATATGCAGAATCTAGAACCAAAAGTTGAACAAACTATTCGTTAACATCACTGTCCGTTACTACTGCAAAGTTTCATGCTTTATGTGCACGCAAAAATCCAGTCCACATATATACAAGAAAATTATAAATAATTCGCTAGAAATTGAACTATAACATGCAGCTCTTAGAAGTTAGCTAGAACAAGAAAAAAAATGACTCAACAAAAGAAGATTGAACACCTTTTAATTCCATCCATGGGAATCAATTTTTGCTTAGAGGGAGAGTGATGGGCTGGTAGCGTGGCATAATATACAAAACTATAGGACTTCGTACATGGCCGATATTATTAAATGAGTGCTGCTATTCTACTCACATTAATATATTAATCATAATACACCTATTTTCTTATATATGTGGATCGCATGTATAATTGTACATAAGTGAGATTCATGAGAGAGATAGTAGTCAAGAGCTATAGTTGAGTAACATTATTCTTTATTAGTGTTCCAAATGTATATCAACTTAGTATAATCCAAATGCTGACCAAAATACTTTTGGTAGTTATATAAAAAGAAAAATTGACTACTTATATATTTCTACACGTGGACCCCAGAGGTCCAAGAATTAAAATAATTCCTACGGTAGAGACTGGAGAGTGCTCATGCAGAATGAATCATCTTAGGATCCTCTTTGTGACGATCCTGGAAATCTTCAAATCATGTTCCTTCATTGTACATCGTATGGTCATAAATTATTTTAAATATTTTTATTTAAAATTAAACATAAACAGTACCTGACGAAAATTGACCGCATGATATACAATAAACGGACATGATTTGAGGATTCCCAGAATCCTCACAAAGAGAATCTAGAGATGATTCTCATTCACCCATGCATGCAGCGGACCGGACTCTGGACCAGGCAGAGCCCTATATATATATATATATGTATGTATGTATGTATGTATAAATCTGCCCTTAATTTCATAGTGCAAGCAGGTCACCTCAGCCTTAATTTCTTGTAGTATTTTCCAAATTGAGATCACGCTAGCTAGTTGATCAATTTAAAGAGTATAATGCCCCGTGTTCGCCTCACAAACAAAGATGACACAAAGGTGCAGATAATGAAGATTTTCAAAAGATTCGATAAGGACGGAGACGCCCATGCAACTTTCCAAGACCGAGCTCAAGGCAGCTTTCGCTGAACTTGGAGCGAAATGGCCTGCCTTTAGAGCTTGGGAAGGTCTTAGGCATGCAAATGACAACGGCGACGGCTTAATTTCTATAGACAAGGAGCTGGGCAATGTAATAATATGGAATTCTGGTTACTGTGTGCTAATTGCTTTCCATTTTATACCAAGTCACCTGGTCAAGAGTAATCGGGACAACTTTAGCCGCACTTCGTAATTCTCTCCTCGATCGAACCTGAATCACCCAAATACAAAACCAGCTGAAAATTCAAGCAAAAAATAACATCCACATTTCAAATCACTGACTTCTCAACAATCCCAATTTATCTAAATGCATCTCTTTCAGCCAAAAAATCAAGCAAAACATTAAATTTCCACTCAATGAACCTAAATGCAACTAATTCCTCCATCCAATTAACCTCTAAATGCAACTAATTACTCATCCTACTAATCTTTCCATCCAAAAAAAATTAAAAATGCTAACTTGAGCGAGGAATGCTTCGGCGTCTTCCTGCCGAAAGCAAAGCAATCCAATGGACTTGGCCTCATTGGGATCAGAGATGAGCACGAACTCATTGTTCGAATTGCTAACCGTATACACCGCCGTGCCGGCCAAGCTTTTTGCCACGTGGTCCGAGCTGAGGGTAGCGGCCAGGGCGTGATTGCTCTGAGCCAGCCACGCGAAGGGCGGAGCAACCGGAGCCGAACACATGCGCCTGCTCGCCAGCGGCGCGAAGTTTCCGGCTAGGATTCCCGCGAGCCGCTTGGTGTCTTCGAAACGGGTGGAGAGCTCGGCGCCGAGGCGGAGGCAGTGCTGGTGTATGAAGGTGGAGAGCGAGAGCAGAGGGTTTGAGCGCGGGTAGGGCTTTGCGGACTCCATCGTCTCAGTGCGTGAGCCGAGTAAAGCTGAATGGTTTTTTTGATAAAGTTAAATAATTAAATAAAACTTATTGGGCTAAATATTGCAACCCACTTTGACTTATAATTAATGGCCCAATACAATCCAGCCCATGCAGTTCGGTGGCCCACTCCGTAATGCAAATTTTAGAACGTGTAAGGACACAGTTTTTTGAAGTGTGGCCGTTGCCTCTTAAACACCTTCTAAAGGTGCTTATTGATTGTTAGGTCATCTCCAACCGAAAGAGGGCAAGAAGGCTCCCTTTAGTCCTATAGTTCTCCAAGAAATTATATTTTAATGAACAGTGTCAAGCTATATTTCATACCATCTTCAACCGAGGGGGCCAAAGGGCTATAGGTCAAACATAGCCCTGTAACAAAAAACCATCTCCAACCAAGGGAGCCAAAGGGTCATAGGCCAAACATAATTTATTATTTTAATTGAATTAATATGGTTACTTAAATAATTTTTCAATATGTAATCTCAGTAACTTTTCAAATAGGTTTTCGAGTTACACGTGTCGCTAAAATGAGTAACTCTCCAGATTTCTTGTCGACTCAATAATTTTTCGGAACGGATTTCGAGTGGCACATGTCGCTAAAGTGAGTAATTCTCCAGATTTCTTGTTGATATGTAATCTCAATAAATTTTCGGAACAGATTTCAAATGACACGTGTCGTTAAAGTGAGTAACTGTCTAGATTTATTGTCAATATGTAATCTCCCCCAATAATAGTTTTATGTTGTTAAATGTTTTTTTTAATGTTATTTAAGTTTCATGTTGTTTAAGTTTGAATAACTCCACCAAGCTAGTGTGGAGATTGTGTTGTTTAATGTAGCTTCACGTAGCTTAATGGTGTAGGCCCGATGCAGGAGGAGTTGCCTTCCACTGCATCTAGAGGGTAGCAAGGTCCGTTCTTGACAACATGGCTATAAAGAGCTTCTGCATGAAGTTTCAAATGACAACAAATTGCACCGTCTCAAATCTGAGGAAAATGATGAATCAAGTATGATGGAAATTTAGCCGATAGAGGATAAGAGAATCATGAGAATCCACAAGGCACTAGGTTCTGATGACGTTGTACTTGTTGGATTTCTTCTCAAGGAATCTGATATTACGTTAGATGATGCTTATGCTTTATACTATTCTGTTGCATACCGTGATCGTTCTCGGTCTAGGCAAGGCCATGAATTGTGAAAGTTGTATCCTAAGGTTGTTAAGGAGGCTCTCCACTATGTTGCTGCTTGCTGTTGCATACTGCATCATTCTTAAAGCCATCAAGACAATTACGCTTGGTGAGTTTTTGAACTCAACTCATTCACATCCAGATCATGAATGTTTGGAATCTATACCATAGAGGCCAACGATAGACAATAACTCCCTCCCTCCCCACACCCCCCCCAGCGGGGAACATAGCTTACAACTTTCATCATACTGTGCTCTCCAAACAGCAACTCTTCTCAAAGGTAATTACCACTCGATTAGATTATTATTAATATTTCTTTGATAAAATTACTGAATAAATCCCCTATGAGGATGATAGGGTTGTACATTATTCCGTGCCATATCCACATACTCTTTATCCATTTGGCATCTAAAGGGGTAATGGTTGTCTACTTGTCTCTATAATATCCATAATGTTAAACACATCTCACATTTGAATCTTTGACTCATTGAAAAAAAAAATGCATATTGTGAGAAAATTATCGATGCCATGGTGTGCTCTCGAATGTAGATCAACGAATCAATTTTTCATGCTAAATAATTTATGAGTAAAACTTGTCCTCACAAACCAACTTGTAAGTGAAGGATACCTAAAAGTTCATGCAGACCAGTCCTATAGTTTTATTCGATGTGAGATATTTTGAGGCAATGCTATATATGTTTCCCTTTATTCTTATAAGGACACCCCTCTTGTTTGTATGTTTTGAGAATTTCAACTAGGAGTACACATAGTGCTCCTATTGAGACCTCAAAACTATTTCCTTTTAGTCCAAAGAAATACATTGACCTAGGGGTTTAACGTCCTTAGTTTTAGTAAGTAGTGGATTGTCTTAGCTGGTAGAGCTTAGGACCGTTTCTGAGATTTTGAGGGCCCTGTGCGAAATTTGTAAAAGGGGCCCTTCTTAAGATAGTTTTAAGTTTTGAAAAAGTATGACAATGTATTGATACTAGAAAATAAAGTCACTTAGTATTACAATCTAGTGGTATTCCTCTTCACTTGTATGTGAGAGGTCTTATGTTCAATTCTCGCTAAAGACGAATTTGAACCATATTATTGTTAGCCTATTGTGAAGTTTAACCCACTCTCTCATCCTCTTAGCGTAGATAATATCGTTTGTTCAAAAAAAAAATTCAAAACAAACTTTAGCACTTACTGATTGCATGTTTACAAATATCCTTAATGATAAGTAAAAAGAGCTACAAACATAACCTTCACTAAATAATCAAAAGCAGTGTTATTTCTTAAACAGCCAAACATAAAAAATAAAAATAAATAAAACCTCTAACTTTATAGTTCACTTGAATATATATATAACGTTGTTATATTATAAAATTAAGAAACTGTCGCTTTTCAGGGTGTTATTATTGACACTCAAAAAATATCATTGTACTCCAAGTTTTTATATTTAGAAAGGAAAAAAAATACTCTTATAAGGAGTGCACAATGCGGTTTAAAGTGCTAACAAAAGCAATTTTTTAAATATAGAACATTATTACATGATGCTAGATGGCAAAAATTTAGGGGATCCTTCAAATTTGAGGCCATGTGCGACTACACCTTTTGCTCCTCCTCAATGCCCCCTCTAATAGAGCTCTATTATTTAACTCATTGTTTCTTGGGTTCAGACTCTCCCCCTCATTATAATATGTTTGAGAGTAGTAATACATTGCTTGTACTAATGGTAAAAAAATTCTTTAACCTACCAAAAATAATACAAGCTTATTGTAAAACCTCTATATACGTGTTGAGAGTCCTTCCATCCAAATGGTCTAAGAGTTTCTCGATTTGAATACAAAAGTAAGGATGAAACTTGCATTATTTTTGATAAAGACGAAAGTCATCATTTTCTCGTAAAGATGAAATGCGACATTGTTTTATCGTACAAAAGTAATATTCAAGATAAAGATTTTTTCTCCGGAGAATGAGAAAAGTATGGTCCATAAATTAATGCATGCAACTTTGGGGATACGAATAAAAACGTTCCTTTAAAGCATATCAAGAGGCTTCACCCTAAAGTTGATAATTATTCCCTTCAATCACTCTTTGCGAATAATTCCATATTGTCAAGCATATTTCTACTGTAGTAAACTTTTATCACTTGTAGTAATAAACATGAGTATCTTTGAGGTAGGAAAGTTAGGTTTGCTATAACACATAGGAAAAATGCATCTTGAATAGAGTTAACAATATACAATCAGTTGCTAATTCTTCAAATTAACAAGTTGGATCCCGCACAAATTTTATTTAAAAGTATTGTTGGGTAAAGAGTTTGAAAATAAAATTTGGACTCCATATGATAAGATAAAGTTAATATATTAATATTTTAAAATGTGAGATAAAATGTAAAGAATGTTGAAAAATGGGTTTGAGTGACAAATTTTTAAAGTAGCATATAAATGCCAAATGAGTTAATAAATGACATTTTTAAAGATAAGAGTAATCTTAATCAGTAACATCTTTCACTAGTTGTTTAACTTAAGAACTTTATTAGACAATATATACCATCTTATCAACTTGTATTTGCAGAGGGGCAATGTCACATCCTGGTCCAAGCTCCCACCACATCTCAGGCTCGACTCCACCATAGCATGATATTGTCTGCTTTGGGCCCCTATCACACCCTCACGGTTTTGTTTCTGGGAATTCACACGAGAACTTCCTAGTGGGTCACCCATCCTGGGAGGCTCGACTCCACCATAGTATGATATTGTCTGCTTTGGGCCCCTATCACACCCTCACGGTTTTGTTTCTGGGAACTCACACGAGAACTTCCCAGTGGGTCACCCATCCTGGGATTGCTCTCGTGCAAACTCACTTAACTTCGAAGTTCCTACGGAATCCGAAGCCAGTGAGCTCCCAAAAGGCAGTGCTAGGTAGAGATGGGAATATACATATAAGGCTTACAAGATCCACTCCTCTGGGCAATGTGAGATGTTACAATTCATCCCCTTAGGGGCCCGACGTCCTCATCGGCACAATTCCGGCCAGGTATTGGCTTTGATACCAAATTGTCACATCTTGGCCCAGACCCCCACCACATCTCGGACTCGATTCCACCGTAGCACGATATTGTCCGCTTTGGGCCCCTACCACACCCTCACGGTTTTGTTTCTGGGAACTCACACGAGAACTTCCAGTGGGTCATCTATCATAGGATTGCTCTTGTGCGAACTCGCTTAACTTCGGAGTTCCTACCGAACCCGAAGCCAGTGAGCTCTCAAAAGGCCTCATGCTAGGTAGAGATGAGAATATACATATAAAGCTTATAGGATACATTTCCTTAGACAATATGGGATGTTATAGGCAACTATTGCCGTGGTTGATGATAAGTGCTTTATCAAGTGTAGCGGATTCCATTCAGCAAATTATTTTAGGAGTTGTCAATATCACTCTAAAAGCGTCATCATGTGCTTTCCACAATGAAAAAGATAAGACAAAACATAGAGGAATAATTATATCTACAAAATCGGATTACCTTAAAGTTAAGTTCGTCTTCCTTCTTTTTCGACAATCTGAAGCCAACCTATATACGAATCTGTAAGACTGTAACCAAGAAATTGAATCAAACAATGAAGGAAGTGATTAGTAAAGAAATACTGATGAAAAAGAGTGTTAAAATTAAAATACAGAATCCTATACGAAAAAGGGCGTTAAAGCCATCCCACATAGGAACCAAGAGATCCAATAAAACCATTGATCTTGTTGTTCCTCATCGTCTGGCGTCGACCTCGAGTCCCACCACCACCATCGACTAGTTCGGTTAACTTGTTTAAAAGCTGAATGTCAATA